CTCAGCAGGCACAGATCTGATTCAGGTGCCACAAACTGGAAATGCAGGTTCCTGGCACAGCACCCTGAGCCGGCTCTGAATCAGCTGCRGATTTTCTGGGCTGGCCACACCCCGAGCAAACAATCTGGCAGTCATCTCTGCAGACTGGCAGCGTGCTGGGGATGCTTTCCATTGTAGAAGCCAGCTCATGACGTGGGGCTGGGTGGTTTTTGAGAGATGCTGAGCATAAGCAACTGCCACAGAAATTTTTGGTGGTGAACAGGCTTGCCCGGTTTGAAATGACACGTCCAAAATTACTGCTCCTTTATGAAGAGCAGACTGTGTCCTGGAGCTTTGCATAGCTCTCTTCTGACTGCCGGTGCCTTTCTCCACCTATCCAAACAGGCGATGCATGTGCTGCTTTAATGCACAGCTCAGACATCTTTGTTTCCCTGTAAATGAGCAGGGGTGCTCAGGGCGCTCTGGAAACYGGCAGCAATGGATTTCCATAGCAAATGGGAGCTGCTGGGTTTTTGCTGTGTGATTTTGGTATCCCATTGCTCTGGACAATTTAATTATCCGCTCTTGAAGTGCCCCTCTTGGTCTTTGTCTGCCCTGTGGCTTTCAGATTAAGTTTAGGATCTGCCCGCGTGCCTCAGCAGACCTTGGCCTCTCCATCAGCACAGAGGTGTGTGATCCTTTGTGCAATCCCAGGGACAAGAATTCCCACTCCTGGCTCACCAGTAACTGGCTCATTCCCTTGTGGTTATAGAGGATCTTTGATCATCTGCAGGGTGATGGAGTAGCAAGTGAAATRTGTGTATTTTCCTGTTATTTTGCCCAAAGCTGGGGCATTCAGGGGCTCTTCCACAGGAGTTCTGAGCTCCCCATGCCAGAGCACYGTGGAACTGTGCTGGCTGAGCCAGGATGGGGCTGGATGAACAAATCCAAGCTGACCTTTGATCCAGGKGACTTTGGAATCCTGCAGCAATCTGATGTGAAATCGGTGATAATGGCAGGGAAAGGCAAAGGGCAGGGGCTCAATCATTATCCAGGCTTTTGTGTGCAGGAAATGGTTCAGGGAGAGGCGCAGGCTGATGGCAGGATAACATTCCCTTTGCCAAGGGCTGTTAACAGCCCGAGCAGCTGCCTGGGGTGAGCAGGAATGCAGCACGGTGGATGCAGCCTGGGAATGGCACGGTGTGTCCCTGAGCGGTGTCCGTGTCGTGTCCCTCAGCGGATGCTCCTTAGCTTCATGAATTTGTGACGCCGCGCTGCCCCGAGCTGTCCCCAGGGCTGGCGTGTGACAGCCCGGCGGTGTGTGCCCAGTTCAGCAGCACAGCACGGTGTGTTCTGCACACCCCAGTGTGTGTCTGCAGCCCCYGGAGCCACCCCAGCCCTGAGTCACGGCACAGGAGAGGCTTTGTGCTGCCGGTGCTGCRGGTGAGTCAAGCTGCCCTGTCTCACTGGGTGGCTCTGATCACCCCGAGTGCCCTCCTTTAGGCACCTCCCAGATGTGTAGGCTGCTAAATTGCCGGTCCTGTACCAGCTAAAGGCACTGCCGAGCTCTCGGCATGAATGTGGAGGGAGTAATTGAGAGCGAAACACAAACCACACAATGAGCAGTTTTCCCCAGAGTGTTCAGATATGCTGGTGCCAGTTTCCCAAAAAKCTGGAGGTCTGTCTGGTGTGTGCGTGACTGTGGCAGGGCTTGGTGCAGAACGATGCCCAAAAAACCTGCGGGAGCTGCTCAATTTGCCGGTACACGAATGGGGAGCAGCCGAGGGGGATTGAAATACTGAACTCCTGCTCAATTAGCCGGTACACGAATGGGGAGCAGCCGAGGGGGATTGAAATACTGAACTCCTGCTCAATTTGCCGGTACACGAATGGGGGATTGAAATTCTGAGCTCCCCTGCAGCCCCTCGCTCCTGACCGCAGGGAAATTGTGTCCATGGCTTGTGCAGCCTTTATCGCTTCACTCATCCACTCAAATCCTGTCAACAGCAGCTTCCACAGCGAAGTGTCTTGGAAACAGCCCTGGATCCCATCAGGCCTCGGTTGGTGTGGATAAATTACCAATTAGCGGCTGCTTGTCAGCCCTTCGCTCCGATCCCTGCGTGTAAAACTGACAGCTCTGTTTTCTCGACTCTTGCAGAACGCCCAGGAATCCCATGGGGTGGCTGTGCCAACGCCGTCGGTGCCAGAAGGCTTTGAGGAAAAGGCAGCTCTGGGTAAGGGATCTTCTCTTGGAGCCCTGGCCAGCACAGAGTGCTCACCGTGCCCTCGGGGAGAAAAGTGTGTGCGTACGAGCTCTGGAGCAGACAGTCTGCTCAGATATTTTCATGCTAAGATAGAGCCTGCTATTAATTATTTTTGGAAGTCATTGAAAATTCATTAATTCCTAAGGGRTGAGGCAGAGTGGCTGTCAGGGTTCAGGAAGTTTTGGACAAGCCTACRAGGGGCTGGCTCCCTGGGAGGGTCAGTGGCTGGGGTCGGGCTGGCTCRGTGCTGCTGGAGAGGTGCTCACGCTGTTCTCTCGCTATCCTCGCAGGCTCGGGCTCCCAGCTCAATGGCAATGTTCGGATGTACAGCTCGGTGGGTGACCTGCGCCCGCAGGCCCTGGACGGGGACGAACTGGATGAAGACATCCCCCCGCCGCCATCGGTGCCCCCGCCGCCCCCTCCGGCTCCCGTGCCGCCCCCTCCGCCCCCCGAAATGCTGCCGCCACCTCCGCCACCACCGCCACTCGAGCCGGTGCCACCCCCTCCTGCCACCGCCGCCCCGCCGCCCCCCGCCTCCGCCCTGTCCTCCCCCAGCACCCCGGCTCCTCCAGACTTCATCCCTCCRGCCCCGCCGGGCGCCCGGGACCCCGCAGCCTTCGCCCCCGGCATGTCCAAGTGGAAATCGGAGACGGTGCTGAACACGAGGCAGGCGGATGGCGAGGGGCCGCTCTGCGCTGCCCAGCCCGGAGTACCCGCGGCTCCCAGCCCCAAGGAGAGCCCGCAGCCCAAGGCCGAGCCCCACCTCACCTTCCCCAGGTCGTTCAAGGTGCCGCCGCCCGCCCCGGCGCGCTCCTCGTCCATCCCGGTGCAGGAGGGCCAGCCCGGCCGGCAGGAGCCGGTGCCCCGACAGCCSCACACCCGGCCACCGCTGCCGCCCTGCTTCACCATCCGACCCGCGGCCAAGGCTCGGCCCGSAGAGGCGGAGCAGAGAAATGCCGGGCTCAGGCAGGGCGTGGGGAAGCCGGCTGCACCCCCTCCACTGAGCCCCAAGCCGGGCCCAGCGCTCAGCCAAGCGGCGAGTCCCGCCGGCCGCCGGTCCCCGCTGCCGGGCTCGGAGCCGGACAAGATTCCGCAGCTGAAAACAGCCGGGAGAGACTCCCCTGCACAGTTTGAACCTCTCACTGCCAATGACCTGGACCTCCCTCCTCCGGACTACCCGAGCAGCGAGGATGACTGGAAGGACGCCAGYAACCTGAACAGGCTGCGGGATGAGCTCTCGGCCCTGCTGCGCTCCACACGCCGGGAGGAGAGGCCGGGGGAGAAGCCGGGGGAGAAGCCGGGTGTCCCCCAGCCTGTGGACAGCAGCACCGGCCGAGCTGGCAGCCGAGAGCCGGGGCTCAGCCAGCCCCARCCCCCCGGGAAGGACACGGGGCTGTCCAAGGGAGGGGAGAGCGAGAAGAAAGAGGTGCCCAGCAGCACCCCCAGCACCAACGGGGGCTCTCCCAGCACGGCACCCACCGCCCCTGAGAGCAGCGCTGCCACACAGCCCCGCAGCGTGATGACCATCAGGAACGAGCTGGAGGCTGTGCTGGCCCTCAAGAAAGAAGGGAAAGCCGCCCCGGGGCTCAGCAGCCAGAAGCAGGGTGTGGAGAATGGCAGCAGCACCCCGCAGGTGAGGAAGAGCCCCCCTGAGCTGAGGAAGAGCCCCCCTGACACGAGTGACTCGGTGCCAAAGCCACTCCCCAGCCCGCTCCCGGCTCCGGTGGCTGCGGTGGACAAGGATGAGAGAGATGACAAGGATGAGAGAGGTGACAAGGATGAGAGAGGTGACAAGGACCATCCTGCTCCTGCTGCTGGCAGGGCCACAGAGGATGTGACCCCTGCTCCTGGGTCCCTCAGCAGCAGCATGACACCCCCAAACCCACCTCAGGGAGCGGCAGAGGAGCCCCCTGCTCCCACACTCCCCTCGCCCGCCGTGTCCCCYACACGGAGCCCGGCACCACAGTCCATCTTCCAGTACAAAGTGCACCAGGCTGGGGCCAGCTCAGCTGAGCCCCGCAGTGCCCTGGGTTCAGCTGAGCCCGGCAGTGCCCCCGGTTCAACTGAGCCCCGCATTGCCCCGGGTTCAGCTGAGCCCCGCAGTGTCCCCGGTTCCGCTGAGCCCCGCATTGCCCCCGGCTCAGCAGAGCCCCGCATTGCCCCGGGTTCAGCTGAGCCCCGCAGTGTCCCCGGTTCAGCTGAGCCCCGCAGTGTCCCCGGCTCAGCTGAGCCCCGCAGTGCCCCCGGCTCATCTGAGCCCCGCATTGCCCCCGGTTCAGCTGAGCCCCGCAGTGCCCCGGGTTCAGCCGAGCCCCGCAGTGCCCCCGGTTCGGCTGAGCCCCGCATTGCCCCCGGTTCATCTGAACCCCGCAGTGCCCCGGGTTCAGCCGAGCCCCGCAGTGCCCCCGGCTCAGCTGAGCCCCGCATTGCCCCCGGTTCAGCTGAGCCCCGCATTGCCCCCGGCTCAGCTGAGCCCCGTAGTAACCCCGGCTTAGCTGATCCCCGCATTGCCCCCGGCTCAGCTCAGCCCCGCATTGCCCCCGGCTCAGCTGAGCCCCGCATTGCCCCCGGCTCGGCTGAGCCCCGCATTGCCCCCGGCTCGGCTGAGCCCCGCATTGCCCCCGGCTCGGCTGAGCCCCGCAGTGTCCCCGGCTCAGCTGAGTCCCCCGGCAGCTCGGCCCGGAGCCCCCCGGCCGTGTCGGGAGCGGGGCAGGAGGAGGTGCTGATCCACCCGGTGACGGGTGAACGCGTGGAGCGGGGCTCGCCCATGGCTCTGCTGCTCGCAGCCCGGCAGCGCGCCCAGCGGGGCCGCCAGCCCGGGGACGGGGTGGCCACACCGAGGGTCCGGCCACTCCTGAGGCTCAGCAGTGCCTCATCGGACACCACCTCCAGCAGCTTTTTCCGCCACGAGTCCAAGCCCGGCTCGTTCACCGTGGTGCCTCGGGCGGCCGGTGCGGCGGGGTCCGGCGGGAGCAAAGCCCCGTCCTTCTCCAGCTCCTCGGAGCAGGGCCGGGCCGTGCCGGGCGAAGCACAGCCCCGAAGAGCCGCGGCCTCCAGCCTGCTGCGGGGGCTACTGGACGCGGGGCAAGCTAGCCAGCCCGGCCCGGCCCGCCTCGGGGGGGACGAAGAGAACGGGGACGCAGCGCTGGATTTTGGGATCATCCCCCCGCCGCCMGAATTCAGCAACGAGGCGGATGAAGGTCCTGTCCCGCGTCGGGAGGAGAACCGCAAGTGTCCCAGCGTYCCTGACAGCAGCCGGGGCTCGGGCGAGCCGCGCTATTACAGGTGGTTTGGCTACAGCCGCAGCTACGGGGGCAACCAGGAGCCAGCAGCTCCGCTGTCCTTGGAGAAGAGCTGGAGGAACGGCGAGCTGACCCCGCAGTACCCCGATTTCAGCAGCCCCCCGAGTTTCTCCAGCCACGGCCCCAACCCGCGCCCGCTGATCAAGAAGCGCCTGTACATGTCGGAACCCGACAGCTCGTACCCCCGGGCAGCCCCCCGCGCCTCGGGCACCCTGTCCTCCACCGTGTCATCCTACAGCCCCGGGGGGTTCAGCTCCACCGGAGAGGGGTCCCGGCGCCTTGGATCTGCCCACAGGAGCGGCCCCCCGAGCGCCCAGGCCAGGCGGGCTTCCATGGATGCTGCTGGGAAAGCCACAGCCTACAGCGGCAGCGGGGCTGATGCCAAGTACAAGGGGCAGAACGGAGATTTCTCTCCTGCCAGCGTGCTGACAGCCAGCAGGTACGTGTTTCCCCCGAGCTGAGCCCCTCCTGTCCCCGGTGTCCCTTTGAATGGCCCCACAGCAGCACCGGGCTCTGAGCCTGTCACAGAAGGGAAGACTCRGACCACTCAATATGAGTTATAAGCGAACTTTGATTTATTGCAAACAATGTCTAAGCTTTATAGTGTACATAATTAGCTCATACATTTTCTGTAATACATATATTTCATAGGTCCATGTCCTAAACGTCAACTCCACCTTTAATGATTCACTTGCCAATCTCCTTTATCTACTTCTACTTTTTCCCAGAGCTAACCAACACAAGTATCTTGTAGGGAGTTTCCAGCGGCTTAAAAACATGATGTCCTTGCATTGCTTTCCCACTGCTTCAGAAGAATTGTTCACACAATCTCAGCAACTATCCTAGCTGAGTGCAATACCTGTACCCCTCCATCTCAACGTGTCTACGTGACCCCTCTCAGCTAGCCAGCCTTCCACACTGGCCCTTGGCTTGTGCTGGCCCCCAGCCCCTCCTGCAGCCTGGTCCAAGGCTCCTCCCTGGTGCCAGCTGTGACCCCAGGGCCCATGTCCCTCCTGTCCACCCCATACTGAGTGGACAAAGCAGTGAAACACATCCCTGCAATGCTGACTGACCACTTGGGCTGTGGCTGACGTGCTCTCTGTTATCCCTGCAGGTCTGCCCACGGCTCCTCCCTGGTGCCAGCTGTGACCCCAGGGCCCATGTCCCTCCTGTCCCCTCCTCACCAAGCAGACAAACACATCCCTGCAATGCTGACTGACCACTTGGACTGTGGCTGACGTGCTCTCTGTTCTCCCTGCAGGTCTGCCCACGCCTCCTCGCCCTACGGGGGACCCTCCAACACCTTCACTGTCCGGCCTGGCRCTCGCCAGCCCATCTCCTATGGCTACCAGAGCCACCGGTAGGCTACCAGGGGCTGCCCAGCAAGGGCCAGAAGGTGCCCGGGGTGCTCCTTTCCTTCTCCAAGAGCACCAGGGACCRTCCCAACCCAGCCTGAAACCGCTCTGCTTGAAACTGCTGATGGAGAAGGTGGGGAATGAGCCCGAGACGTGGACTTTTCTCAAGAGACTGTCATGGAGAGTAGTTACTGCGGAGGACAGGCAACTGCCTTGTTACGTGAGCAAAYGTGCTTTCCCTTTTTCCCATTTCCCACCTGGATTCCTTTCAGAATTGCAGTCTGACAGGTCATCCAGGAAAGCCAAAGAGCATCCTTAGCTCTCTTTGAAGAGTATCACCACTGGAAGGATCAGTTTGTTTTCAGTTTGTTTTTTAATTGGTTTCACTCCAGCSTGCTTGGGAGCAGGGAGAAACCAAATGGGAGATGTGCACAATGGAGGCAAAGCAGTGCATAGCTAAATGTCAGGGATTGAAATAGGAATGTGAGCCCAGTGGGATGGAAGGAGAGTTTAGGATAATTAGATCCTTTTTGTTTTTYAAGAGTCTGGAGCAAATGAATTCTGCCTTAAACCCAGCTCCTGGCAGTGAGTGCCTGTCCTGCCAAGCTGGGTGCGAGCCCCTTCTCCAGGAGCAGCTTTGGGAGCAGGGGCCCTGCTTTGCTGTGCCTTTTGGTCACTGGAAATGTTTCTGTTGGTGATCACTCCTCGTGGAAGGAGGCTGTGAGGCTCAGATGGATGCCTGTGGAGCCCTTTGGAGATGCAGGACAYGGAGCAATCCTTCTTTTCCTTTGGCTGGTGGGTGCCAGGGACTCACCAAGTGCTGGTGCTTCCCCTGCCTTCTCTTGCCACTTCACACCCGTGTGACCCCTCCCAGTGTCCTTAGGAGCTGTTCTGCTGACACTTGGCTTCACTTGGCCTCATTTGGGGAGCAAGAAGATAATTTTTGGTGTATTGATCTCAGGGTGTGTGGGGTGTCTGCAGTGCCACCCAAGGGAGCTGGCTCCCAGTGTTCCCCTCAGTGCTTTTCCAGGTGTTGGATGTGTAAATCTGTCCCTGCTCTCGCTCTGAGGAGTGCAGAGTGGGAGAATGAGGAGCTTAGAGAGGGTTTGTAACCTCCAAAGAGCAGCRGGGTCTCACCACAGCTGACCTGAGTTGTGAATTGCCAACTTGCTGAAACTACAAACAGAGAATCTTCCTCGTAGGTAAACTCGCTGAAAATCACTGTAAGATAACTGTAAAAACTTGTAGAGAATATTTTCTAATCACTGAAACTAAAAGCACTTTGAGACATTAGTCTATTTTTATGGAAAGCACTTTCTGTTTTCAATGCTATAAATGCCATTGGTTCCACTCCAGCTTACCCTGCCTTGCACACACCTCTGTGTGCCCTGCAATTCAGCTCAAAATCAGGGATAAATTTTCCTTCACGGTGGAATTCTCAGAAGTTATCTTGATATTCGTGTCATGTCACTGACATTCTGTTTTGTGTTATTTCCAGCTTTACCTAATAATTTAACAGCCYTTTCAGATATTGCAGCAGCTTTAAAGTATTCTGAACTTTACTTTGCTGTGAATAAAATGAAAATGCAAATACAATAATCAGTTTAATAGCTAATTCAAAGGGCATTTTTATGCCAATAAGTCGCAGTGACTTGGAAGATTTCCAGTGCTCACCCCAGCCAATATTGAAATAATGGGCTTTAAATATCTGGGTGTTGGTTTTAMAAAAATATTTATGGACAAGAGTGACTATGGAGTACCTATAAGGATATTTAAGTGTGCCAATACTTAAGTGTGGATACCACTCACCCCAAAACATGGAATTTTTCCGTGCAAGGAGCATTTTGAGGAGTCTTATCTGTAGAAGTAAATCTGTGATCCTCTTTGAGAGRCTTAAGGGTCATGTTTTAGTATTGGATGAAGTTTCACCAGTTTAAAGAAAACTGTCTCTTTGATAACATTGCAACCTCATGGGTTTTTTTTTTTGTTCCTGATACTTTTTTTTTTTCAAAATAATAAGCTATAATTGTAAATGAGCTCTCAAGAACAATTCTAATGTAAGGCTGGGTGGGAGATTGCAGCTTTTGATCCTGACTTTGCCCAGAAATGGGGAGGGCARGGTGTGTTTGTGCAATTTTCCACCTCAAAAATTCTTCCAAACTGGAATCTTCCTAACACAAGTTTTTGGTTGTTTTTTTTTCTTTTTAGAGAAAACTGTGACACTCCAATGGTGGCACTTGCTTTGAGTGTCACATTTACTATTTCACCCAGACACACAATTCACCTGTAGTTGCAATATGGTGTTAGACACCATGGAGTGTCTCATTCTTAGCARACTTATTTAATTTAGAGTTAGAAGCGTGATAATATAAGTCARCTTTATAAAATAGCCATTATTCATTCCAGAACACCACTCTGGGAATGCACAGGGGCCTGAGCTGTCACTGAATCAGGCTGGACTCTGCTCCCACTTGCAGAACTGGTTAGCAYGCAGGTTTTCAGCAGTGGAACACTTCTATTCTTTAAACACTTTGGGCTATCCCTGCTTCTTTTGAATGCATTCAGCAGATTCTGGTATTTCAGTTTCAGCTCGRCATTGATTCTGGGGCTGTTGTGACAAAGGAACCTCTGTCAGAGCTGTTGGCAGCCAAAGCAGTGGGAACAGAGTTCAATCTGCTCAAGTGAGGGATGGGGAACATCCCCTTTTCCTGGGGCAGGTTCCTCTGTCAGGGTGTGGATAAACTGTCCTTGCACTCCTGTTTCTGCCCCTCACAGCTCCTTCATTGTGGAAATTTAGCAACAGGATAGGATGAAACAAAACTAAGGGGTATTAATGGGGCCCAGAAACCAGTGCTGAGAGCAATCCTAAAGCTTGGCAGTGGAATTACTCTCACTTCACCCTCTCTGATGCAGTGTGGTCATTCAAGTCATGGTACAACTTAAATTATCCCCTGCAGCTGCCTCTTCCTCAGAAGTTCCTGCTAGGGGAGTGTAACAGAGCATTAGCTGTAAAGTATTGAACAAAGTCTCTTATTTATGAGTGCCATTGAACTCCAACCTTCTTGCATTAAACATTTCTGGATGTATTGTTTTATTACATGTGTGGTCTGGTTTTTTTTTTAGTGTTACTTAYATGGTCTGTCTGCTGTGGGRTTGAGGAGTTTCCACATTGTTAAAAGGATGGGGAAAAGTAGCCAGTAAGGGCTTGGTCCAGTTTCTGAGCAGTTGGTCCAAAGCCTGTGGCCATTTCAGTGTTTTTAAAGCCCAGTCCAGGCATGAAGGGGCAGTTGAGCCCCAGAGCTCTGTCATTCACACCCAGCTGGTTGGGCAGGCTGGCAGAGGAGCTGCTGCAACTTCTATAAATAGTTCTGGGCTTGGAGCTGCTCATTAGGGACGAAACTCTCACACCTCTTACAAGTCCCAACTCGAATGTTGTGCCCAGAGCTGCAAGTGCAGTGTGAGCAATGCGAGCAGCGACATGAAACGTTTGTCTGCAGTGATTTCCTCTCTCCCCTCCTCAAAATTAAACMCATTTGCCTTCTCATCTCCTTCATCCAGCTCTGCCTACAGAACCAGGGAGGGAAGGGTGCAATGTGGGCCTTGAAGCTTTTATTGGAGCCACAGTCTGYGTACCCAAGTGTCCCCAAAACTGAAGGGCATGTGGTACAGGGACAGTTGAGCAAGCCCCAAACCCCACAGAACTGCCTCCCTTCCTTGGCAGGGAGCTGCAAAGCCA